CCCTTTTCTTGTGACACGTTTCGCTTGCCAGACTCTAGGTGTTCTGGTGATGGAGCACAAGTCAGCGGTGAAATTCCGTTCCGTCAGCTTAGAAATAGTCGTCGTCAACGTAAGGCTTCTGTTGATGGGTCGTGGGTCAACGGCGAAGTTCCAGAGCGCCTTCTCGACGACGCGTCTCTCAATGTGTCGAGTAGATGGTTCTTTCGCCCAGAACGGATCAGCAGCTCTGGCCTCCAGATGAAAACTCGTAGACAGCTTCAGGAGAAAATATTTCCGTCCAAGCTTGAAGGTGGTGAAGAAGGTTTAATAGAGTACTGTTAGTATTTACTTATTAATGTTTAATTACAGCCAAAATGGTGTCAAGTGACTTTGAGACCGTAACTTTGAAGAGTTCCCGGGGCAGTCGGTCCCGGGAAATAGGCCTTTTAAGAATTTAGCTAAATTAGAATTCGTAAAATGTATAACCGAAATCTATGAAAGCTACAGGTTAGGTTTTACATTATTATAAGTTGGCAAAAACATAGGATGAAAGTTCGTAAAAGTTTATATTACAGGATTTTAATGGTTACAGATATAAAATTGAAGGTCCACAGTTATAGAATGGAAAAAGTGAAGAATATAAATGGAAAACATTAAAAAGTTTATAGATATGAGCAAAATTAGTAATGTGAATCTAAGCAATGAAAACGATACGAAAGGTTAGTTACGACATGTTTCAAATGACAAAACACGACGATTTCTGAGACCACCCGGAGGATGCGTCGCTGTCGGATACTTCTCCCGCACTAACAGTAGCTAAATGCTGCTTTTAATAATTTCACAGCTGTAAATCTATTGATTTCCATAACTATTAAAAAACCTTCTCACTTCCATTAAGTTAGTTTAATTTTTCCTTTATACAAATAAAAATAAATTTATTCAAAGATTCGTTCGTACTAATCGAATTGTGTTTGCGTAACTCGTATTAATTGAATTTCAACTCGATATTAATATTAATTATCAGATCCATACAACACTAACAATTTTATTCTCTTTGGTCTAATGTCATGAATTTGTGGTGCCATCAAGTGACACATTCAAGCCGTGCCTGCCATATTAAAAAAAGAAAAAAATTTTCATCGCCATCTTTTATTCATTTAATTTTCATTTTACATGTAAAAATTAATTTATTTACCTGACATTGGTAGAATTGTGCGAAATGCGCAGATAAGTCATTAATTAAAAAAGAAGAAGAAGAAGAAGCTGGAAACTCGTATACAGCTTCGTTCTGGCGTTCTAAAAGTTGTTTCAAAAATCTCATATCATCTCGTGTCTGCGTCGTAATTTATTCGAGGTCAAAGGTCACGAAAACGCTTTTTTGCAATTTTCTATGTTTCTATTGTTAGGTTGTTAAAACTAATTATCACTTTTACTTATTATGTTCATTTTATTTTGTAAGAAATTTAAATAAAAGGAACGTATCTGATTGTCTATGCATCAAATACCAATAACATTGTTTAATATTAAAATGTTGTTAATTAATGATTTTCCATGTTTAACCTGCATGTATAATTAAATAATCATTAAACGTTATTTATGGAAAGAAATAATAGTAATTGTGTCTTAAGTTATAATAATAAGATATGAGTTCTATTATCAATTCACTCTGTGATTCTAAGTTGTTCATTAAATAATACAAATATAAATACTATTATAAGACAAAATCTATTAAAATATTAATTAATCTCATAAAATTTTAAATATCGTAAGCATTAATGATTAACAATCTCAATTAGTTTCCATTTCACTTTTATCTCTCACTCTTCTTTTTTGTGTCATGGCTAGGGTTACCACCCGTACTTTATAATAAAATATTGTACGTTATTTCAGACAATTGTACTCTATACTCTATAAGAAAAATAAAGTACACTAAAATACTTTATGTCGTATGATTTGATTTGTTTGTGATTTTGAAGCTTAGACGTAAGTATTTTTCCGTTAAACAAATAGAAAATGTATTTTTAAGTTTAGTAATAAAGAAAAATAAATAATACTTTATTTTGATTCAATTTACTTTGTTTTTGTTCCTATAATAACTAATGTACTTTATTTGGGGAAAAAAGGTGGCAACCCTAGTCATGGCACCCATTTTTTTAACGGGAAATGAGAGCAGGGCACTAGCGCTCGTTGGGTTTTCTTTCGCATGTTCGGTAAAGATTTTTCAAAAAGAGTAAAACGAAAACTAATAGAGGTTGAATACATTTATATAGAGATCAAGACCTCAAAATAATTGTACAATCTAATTGCAATTAATAAACGGCAAAAGTTATAGAAAGGTGTTTTATTAGTGAGAGATCTTAAATGTACTATGGTTCCAATCACTTCAACACCTATTTTGAAAATTAAAGATAAAAAAAATTGTCTCAACTTTTTTTCTATACGCTCAACCCTTTTTGAGATAGAGGGCGGAGAGCACCCAACGCTCAGGCATATATACTGTAACTGTAATTACCAAATTCAAAAATAGTTAGGATATGATTAAGAACCTCAAGAATGGGGCTGAGTATATCTAAAATCCAAAATGAATTTCTGCAACCTATAACTACACTATTACCACCAGCTCCAGATGAATTACTCATTACAACATTTTGTAATTGTCAGAATGGTTGTGGTTTACGCTGCGGATACAGAAAATCGGGCTTGCAATGCTCTTTAACTTGTGGACAATGCAATAGGCAAGCTTGTCTCAATGCTGCCTTATTGCAAGACGATTCCGAGGAAGAAACTGCATTTGATCCAGAAATTTTAGAAGGTTTGGAGACAATGATGCAGGAAATCTGGTTGGGTTGCTTTTTACTGAACGTACTTAGCAATATTATTTGTTTGAATAATAAGGCGAAACAATAAATTCAAGGTTAAATTATCTTTAACGTAATCATTATCCACCTACTATTCATAGTGTTTTAGTGATGTATCAAAATATCAAAAGCATTTTTATACTGTATGTGTGTGCCTAAGACAAAAATATATACCGACCGCCTTCAGTTATTGGGAGTAGAGATATCCTCTAACCTTAACTTTGGGCGGTTCATTGAGTCCAAAGTAGCAAAGCTAGAACGCTAAGTATCCTAGCGAAGGTCCGGCGGTACTTCACACCAGAACAGCTTTTGATGTTGTACAAAGCGCAGGTTCGGTCTTGTGTGGAGTACTGCTGCCACATTTGGGCTGGTGCCGCAAAATGCCACTTTTCGGCATTGGATTCAATGGAGAGGCGTGCGAGAAGGCTTAATGGTGACCTGAAATTGGTTGAAACCAATCTGCATAGCCTTCAGCACAGGCGCAGAGTTGCTAGCCTCTCGGCATTCTACAGGATACATTTTGGAGAGTGTGCGCAGGAATTGCATGACCTAATTCCCCCCTCCCCGTTCTACCATCGAACGTCTCGACGCACGGCCGGTATCCTTTCGTCGTCAACATCCCTCCCGGTAAGAACGGCACGATTCGATTCGTCATTCTTAATACGTACCGCCAAGGACCGGAATAAATTGCCAGCGTCTGTATTTCCGTCCGATTATAATGTGAATGTCTTCAAATCAAGAGAGAATAGGCTGTTACTAGGTTAATGCGCTATACCACCCAAGGCTTCATCACCACTTACCGTCAGGTGGGATCGTAGTCAAGCGTTAACCTATAAAGTATATAAATTTTAATTTTAAAACACATGTCTGAAATCGAACTAAAAGTAAAAAGACAAGTTGTATTATGGCTTTGATAAATAAAATTCTCATTGCAGTCGGTGGACCGTTCGGAACATTTGTAATTCAAGAGGTTCCCCGTCAGCAATATTTTTTTCTATTAAGTCCAAATATTTATAAATAAATATAGAAATATTGGTCAAAGTAGTCGAACGGCTAGAAAGCGCGTACGGTACTAAAAGCAATATCTCTTCAGTATGTATGACAAAATTATCACAATAAATTCTACGTTTAAGATATTCTAAAGAATATATATCGATTGATCTACAGGAATCAGGTAACATTGATCCCGAAATAAAAAATATCTAATAAATTTCTCAAAGACTTCAACAATCGTCCAATGCCGACACACTTAAATTCACTTATTATTCTATAATTAACCCGTTATAATTTTATTTGCATAATAGATATGCAGATAAATATATTATACTAAAACACAACTAGAGTGAGTAGTTATTATAAACTAGCTTTCCGGCTTCTCCCGCGTGGTCCGCTGGTACCTTACTCATAGATCTAAACTCCCTTCCCGCACTCGCAACCCCGCCCTGTGACGTCCAATTCGCAACGGGCCGTGCTGCAGAAATCGTAGGTAATATTTTAATTTCGCCATAACTTCAAAACCAAACGCCCAATTTAATCATTCAAAGACCAAATATTATCTACATAAACTGTACTTAGTCATGAAATAATTTATTTTGATAAGGATTAATAGCACGAGTAAAATAAACGCGTTTAAATGTAGTCCAAAAAAAATCAAGATTTTTAAATAAAATAATGGTTGTTGTGCCTCACTCGACGTAGATAGGTATAGTGTGTCGCGGACTTTTTTGTAGATCTTTATAAGATCTACAATTAATAAGAACATTTTATGGTTCTATCTATTATAGTTTAAGGCAGCGTACGCAAAATAAGTAACTTTTCTGGTTGATTTTTTACACCTTGTGTCCGAAAAACCCAAATATCTTACGGAACCCTATTTTTTTACAAAATAAAATATAGCCTATGTTACTCGTGGATAATGTAGCTTTCGAATGGTGAAAGAATTTTTATAATCTGTCCAGTAGTTTTTGAGCCTATTCATTACAATTAAACAACAAACAAACATACAAACCAATTTTCCTCTTTATAATATTAATATACATAGATAAGGCAGAAAATAAAAATACATTTAGAGTTTACTAAAATGTATTTCTGTATTAATGTCATATCTTAGGTCTTATCATTGTTTACGCTAATGTTGGCTTAAGAAATACTAATATAGTTAAATTAAACACCAAATAATTCTTCAAATGAACTATGAATTTTATGTAACATATCAGATGCTATCATATTCCTTCCGTTTTCTGCAAATGCATGTGCATTGCAAGTTCTCGTAAATTTTGACGCAGCATATGCAGCTACACTTTGAGCTACTTGTAAAGAATTTTCATTATCACACAAATTGGCTTTCAAAGCCCAATTGTAAAAAGTACCCATTGCACCTGCCAAAATATCACCTTGTCCCGCAGTTCTTCGATCTGATCCTCCGCCTAATAATGACCAGTTAAATTTATTAACACTAGTATAAAATGTATCTTCGTAGCCTTTTACTAAAACTGAAACATTGCCTCCCCAATAATTATACCAATGTGTGTTATTTGAATTTATCGCTTCAATTAACTTTGCAGCTTCGCGCCTGTTAGGTGTTAATATTGCACCTGGCTTGGGGTAATTTAGTAATACAGAAACATTTGTAGAAAGAGCGTACAAACCATCCGCATCAACAACCAATGGTTTTTTTAAACTTTTACATGTCTCAATAATATCCTGAATTAAAGCGATTTGTTCAACCTCCCTTCCGAATCCGGGGCCAACCACAACAACATCCAACTTTTCGAGTATTCTGCTAATTTTAGAGGCATAATGCTTACTGAGGTATGGGTACACTATTAAATCAGGACTATACCCTTTTATTATAGGCGCAGCTGTTTCCTTAGTAATAACATATACAAGATCGGCACCGACCTGAAAAATAAAAACAATGGTGATAAAAAAGCGTATATCATGTACAGTCAACAGCACGTCAAGTTATACAAAACTAAAAAAGCTGATGTGCAGCCGTGTGTACCTGGGCCTGGTAACTAATAAATGTTATAACAAAGAATAATAGAAAACACTCGAAATACAATATGTGCTAAATACCAAAAATCCTTTTTCTCTTTAATGATTCTTTAGATTCCCCTTTTTCCTGAGTAATATAGATTAGTAACTATAGCCAATAAATTCAACACAGTAATCAATACATCTTGTCACAAATGGGTGTTTATTACATCCATATTATCAAGAAAACCGGAAGGGTTGTCATGGAGAATTCAAGAACGTACCGTAGCGATATCTACCGAGTTTGATTTCGGGAACTAATGTTTTTTTTTCCTCATTGGTGAAAGAAGACTAATTGTTAGTAATGTGTTTGAATTGTATAGAATATACCATACCCTTAATAATATTAAGTTAATGTATCAAAAAAACTACAGTTTTAAATGTTTTATTATAAAAACAGGTAAAAATCATAATCTAATAAAAAGTTTGATTCTAAAAATATTATGCTTTTAATAGATTACTAAATATGATAAAAGATGGTAGCTTTATTTATTTTTTTAAGACGATGCCAGCTATTATGTTACTATTATAACTGCTACGTAGTGTAATGTATAAAATAACTTACAAATAAAAATAAATACATATAAACTTCTTAATTAGGTATTTACTTACTCGTAACGAAGTTAAGGCTCCAAAGTACGGAGCACCAGAAAATTCATCACTGCCTCCTAATACGCCTATTCGACCAACTTCACCTTTACTTTTTTTATATAAATCAGGGATAATTTGTTTGCTTAAAGCAGTTAACTTTTCTTTTGATAAAATTCCTTCTTTGATACACTCATCAGTAGTAACTGATAGCAAAAAATAATTTTGAATAACAAAAACAATAATCCTATAATTCATATTCAAATTAGGTGAACAGAAGGACTTATTTAAAAACTTAAAAACATCAATAACACAGTAGTCGATAAAATGCACTTATGATTTTTTACATTTAATTTGAACATGGAATATTTTATATTATCATTAATAATAATATGTAATATACGTCAAAGTTTTCTAAATTTCAAATACGATATGTAACTATGTTACTGGTGCAATATTACTTTACGACTGTTTCGTAAACTCTAAAGAAGCAGTAAAGTGATAACCTTTCCTTTTATGATACTAACTACCACAGAATTTTTATCTGTTCTGTGCTAACTACTATATAATATACTCTATGATACTAACTTAATTACACATGGAATGACCAAGCAAAAACTCGTCCGACAACATAATTAAAGCTTAATGTCATCATAACAGTAATCTTTTTAAAAACGACTTCCATTTTATTATTTTTAGAATTAAAAACAAAAGACACATAATTAGAAATTCTCGTTGTCGTTAGTGTGTATATTATTTGCCCGTCTATAAATAATGAGGTTTTTCAAGCGATAAAAAACCTGACGCTGATATATAATATGAAAAATAACGCGAGGACTTCGATTGAAATCGGAATCGCATTATTTTTTTGCTCTGAAGTTAGGTTTCGATTCTCCGAATTCAAACCCCGTAGTTTCGGAGTTTCAGTCTCATATCAAATTTCAAATAAATGTAATAATAGAGCTCTAATTAATGATTTGTAATAATAGAGCGTTGACACTAAAGTCTTCTTCTTCTTCTTAACTTTAATGGCTCTTTGCGTCACCACAATACTGCCAACTTCACGTAGGAGACCATTACACGATTTAAATACATTTATTTAACCAATTTTGAATTATCAATTCTATCTATCATAGATTCTCAACGTGGGCGATAACGCCCCCTTGTGGGCGTTTGAGACTTTCGGGGGGGCAGTAGAAGACCCAGAGAAAATTAGGGGGCATTGAGATGGCGCAGAGGGGGCGTGGGTAGATTATAAATATAGTCTAAAAGGCAAAAAAATACACGCTAATCACGTACTAAAGTAAAATAAAAATTAATATCGTTTAATTTTTGTTATTGTAGGTATTGTTATCATTTTTATCACGTGTGCACGTATTTTGGTAGGGCGGGCAATGGATTAAAATCATCATTACTAAAAATTATAAAATAAAAAGTACTACAATAGAGGTTAAAGTACAGAGATTAAGATTATATAAATTTTAATTTCCAAAAGATACTTAATATTTGTTGAAATTATAATAAAATAAACATACACAAAACATTAATTAATTAATAATTATTAATCGATGTTTTGTGTATGTTTATAATCTAAACTGGCAAGCGAACCGGCTTGGGGCCGCGGTCAACCTCTACCATACAATTTCAGATTTATTTCACTAAAATGGCTTATTCCGAATGGTTTTTATTATTTCAAGATGAAATAGATTAAATTATATTAATTTTTTGTTCGTCAGTGTCTTCGGGGCATTCGGGAGTCAGCAAGTGACGTACATGCGTCGACAGGTCTGAGCCCGCACTCTAATCCCGCGTCGCCCTTGCCCCCGCGCGGCGTCCGCCCTTACCTTTCGCGCCGGGTGTTTAAAACGAGTCACTGCATGTTTATCTTATTCCTGTCGTTACTGCATGTTATGTTAAATATCTCCAACCTATATAAAGGCAATGATTGTTAATTTTATTTTCATTAGCATTATCGCGCGCAATTGAGAACAGGGTTTTAAAAGTTAATCTTTTACTCACGTATCTGTAAAGTGCAAACCATGTCAGAAGCAAAAAAGAAGAGGCGGCAGTATTGTGCGGATTATATTAAATACGGATTTATCGAGATCCATCCACAAATCCATCATCGCCATTGTGCCTTATTTGTAAAAAAACATTTTCAAATGAAGCGATGAAGCCTTCCAGGCTTCAAGATCATTTTAATAAAATACACCCGGATAAGAAAGACAAAGATGTGACCTATTTTCAAGACATGAAAAAGAAGTACGAAATTCAGCCTAATATATCAAAACATTTTTCATCAGCTTCTAAGCAAGACGATGACGGACTTCGAGCTTCGTACAATATCTCATTGTTGATTGCTAAAATAGGGAAACCACACACTATTTGGGAAGATTTAATTTTACCAGCAATCAAAGAAGTAATAACCACTGTACTCCATAAACCAGCTGCAGATATTATCCGAAAAATTCCTTTGAGCAATAGTTCTGTGCAAAGACGAATAGATGAGATGGCTAAAAACATTGAAGAATCATAGTGCAATTATCTGCAGACTTGTCAATTTTCAATTCAGCTGGATGAGTCCACTTTACCCACCAATGAAGCACTGTTATTGTCATACGTGAGGTTCATTAAGGATGAGAAAATATGTTAAGAACTATTGTTTGCTACAAATTTGGAAACGGATACAAAAGGAGAAACTATATTTAATACTCTTGAAAAGTTTTGTGCCGAAAAGGAAATTCCGTTGAATAATATTTTGTCAGTTGCTACGGATGGCGCATCGGCTATGACAAGGCGTCACAAAGGCTTAATAGCGTGCTTAAAAAATAAAGTTCCTGACGTGCTTGCTGTGCATTGCGTAATTCATCGCCAGCATTTGGTTGCGAAAAATCTGAATGAACGCCTCCATATATCACTGCAATATGTCATCAGATCAGTCAATAAAATCAGAAGTAACTCGTTGAATGACAGATTATTTAGTCAGCTTTGCATTGCCAATGATGAAGATTTCAACCGACTGCTGCTTCACACAGAGGAGCGCTGGCTGTCAATAGGTACTTGCTTGACTCGATTTTACAATCTGTTTGGATCTGTGATAGAGTTCCTAGAAAACAAAGACCCAGAATTGCGCGACAACCTCATCTCATCAAAGAAAGATATTGCGTACTTGACAGACCTGTATAAATTGTTTAATGATGTCAACCTCCAACTTCAAGGTGATGACTTAAACTTGATTAAGACAAAAAATAGCATTGCTGCTTTCGTATCCAAACTACTTTTATATAAAAGAAATATCGGCGGATGGGAATTCAACAACTTCCCAAATTTATCACGAGTATCATTCAATAACGACGACTTGCTTGTTTACTGTCAACACTTGGAAAACCTCCACAGAGATTTCAAGGAACGATTCCAGGACGTTTTAAACATGGACATGCCAGACTGGGTTTTGGATCCTTTTTCAAATGTTAACACAGCAGGGTCATCCTAATTAGAAGAAGAACTAATAGAACTAACGACAAACGAGGAATTAAAAATTAAATTCAAGAATGGCTACCAAGAATTTTGGCTGCAGAAGCCGATTTCACAACTGTACCCAGGATTATGGTTGATTGTTCAACTATTTCTGATAGCATTCCCATCTTTCTATTTAGCTGAACGTGGATTTAGTGCTGTAGCAACGTTGGTAACTAAAAAGAGAAATCGGCTTCATGTTACTGAACGCGGTGACTTACGGTTGTTTTTAAGTAAAATCGAGCCTGATATTAACAAACTCCTTAAAATGCATCAAATTCAACCTTCTCATTAGTTATGTCATAAATTCATGTCTTTTGAATGAAAAAAAAAAATACACCTCGATATAACTAAGCATGCGTTTTAATTGCTCCCATTGAAACATTTTTCTTTAATTTTTCATTTTAAATTAAGAAATAGCTCTAGAAAAAAAATATATTCTCAAAGTGGGCGGTAAGCAAAATAAGGTTGAGAAACTATGTTCTACATGGATTTACCAAAAACAACACGTTAAACGATTTAAATCCGTTATCAAGAAATTATTTTATATAAACAATCATTTAATCATAATCATTTTAAGTCTTACCACAGACCACTATTAAATTAACTAATTATGATAAAGTAAATGTAACACTAAAGTCGTATTGTGGTTCTGTTACTTGCATAATCTTTGACAGATCTTTTTCACAATTTGTAACCGGAGCTCAGACCAAATAAAAAGTAAAGACGGAGTTCTCTGAATAACAAAGTGAAGCCGATTTTTAGCAATTGTAGTGTGCGTGCCAGTGTGACCATAGTCATTAAAAACATCCCAATAACTTAACGTTCCGACGTTATAGAGTTAACGTTAACGCTATGCTATTTAATAATATAATGTAAATTTGTTTGTCAATATCAGCATAGATATTCTTAAATCTTTAAGAGTATATAATTATTATTGGAGGCCATACATTAATAACAGAAGTAATAATAAAGAATATACAGAAGATTAACAGAAGTAATTAAGTGAACTCAATGTCTTTTTCGCATTTAATAAAATCTGAAATGACTGTTTGTGTCATAAATAAAATTAAAAAAAGAAGTATTCTAAGGAAAAAATATTTCTGCTCAAAGAAACTACACTAAAATTATGCCTATATATAATACATATATAGTCAACTATTATAGTCAACTGATCTCGTAAAGTTCATTTAGCATATTAATTCTCCGCTTACACGGTACTAATTTCGATTTGTTTACGAAATAGCGCCTCTGATTGGTCTATCTCTGTAATTGTTTTTAAGTTGTTTTTACAAACATTCGAAAATAGTACGTTTATAAATTTAAACATCAAGTACTAGACCATTTTGAGTAATTTGATTCTAATGTGACAGATATTTTTAGCTATTGTATGTGAATAATGCTGTTCCTAAATTAGTAAAGGTATAAGTTTTTACATCTGATAGTAGTCATCCGATAGTAGTAAAAAAATGCTTTCGTCTTGCCATAATTTATTATGGTTTATGAAAAATGATCAGGTAATTATTTAAGTATCTTTCTACATCTTCGAACGCAATTACCGACGTTCCAAAAATCTCATCGTACCTAGCGTAAGTGACGTGTAGCTTCTAAAAGAGCTGCCCTACATTGCGCCGCTCCGATCAGGAAAAAAACGGACAAGTGCACAATCTACCCATCCGGGTTTTTCATGTCATTCCGGACCGGAAAAAATCGGACCGCCGGATCTGAAAATTCAGTGTAGTGCGCAAGCGCCCTTCCTCCTTCTCCATTTTGACGACGCTAAGCGTGCATTTGTTAATTAATGTTATTTTTGGCGTAGCTCTCGACTTTCACAAGTGCTTGTAACAGCCTAGACTGAATAAATGATTTTGATTTTGATTTTGATTAAATTAATAAAGAGTATTAAATCACAATTTTATAACTTTCATTGATCACGGCGATCATTGTGTCTCTGAAGGACAGAGGACACATCACCGTTCCTTTTAACTAACATATTAAAAAACTGAAATTGGAAAAGTTCGAAATTTAGATAGTAAGATAACTCTTTATTGTTGACATTACACTATTTACAGAAACAAACATAAATAAAACTCAATTAAAATGAAAATAATTGGCGGCCTTATCGCTTAAAGTGATTACTTCCAGGCAACCTTTGGATGGAGAAAGAGATAGTCATTATAACGGAGACGGGGGTGTACATGTGAACAACAGTATACAATTAAGTGCAACAATGAATATAAAAACACACAAACTACATACCTACAATAAATATTTATATATGATATTATATAATAATAATGGCATACATCTATACTACATATATACACATATTACCATATGTGGAATAAGTAACAGTGCAGCAGCATCAAAGTAATTATTGCGAAAGGTAGAATTCTTAGATTACAATACAAATACGAAAAAGTACAAATAGAGTATGATTTGTTTATTGAGTTTTGAAAACTAATTTACTTTTAAACATGAAAGAAAACCGGAAGGGTTGTCATGGAGAAATCAAGAACGTACCGTAGCGACATCTAGTTTGATTTCGGGAACTTATGTTTTTTTCAAATACTTCCTCATCAGCTGCAAGCTTGATGAGTGATGAGATGACAGTGTAAGGGATGGGCAAGTGAAAAAAACATATCGATTAATGTAGAACCAATTTGTTAAAAGCTGTATCAATTTAATTTTTATTGTAACTTTTAGTGGATTTAGCAATATATGTATTGATTGTTTTCATAAGCAAGCGGCAGATAGTTTTATTCCAATCCATGCCATACTCAGAAACGATAGTGTCTGAGAATGGCAAGGTATTCATGATTGATATTTACTAACAAACTATTTCAAAATTGATTGATTTGATTGATAATTTATAACAATTATCAATACACAGACTAAAATATTAACAATTATTAAAATACCTATATCGAATAATGTTTCTGAAGTCTAAATTTTGTCGTATTTTTGTTATATGTCATTACATTCTACATGTCAAACTGTCATTCGTTTGCCGTATAATAAAAACAAAAGGGGTTTCAGCGCACCTATTTTGTATTTTAGTACAAAATGGATGAAAAATATGAGAGTGTTAAACTTTGTTACACCATACACAAGTACTCCGGTTATTCGTCAAATTACATTCCCGAGTAAGTATTTTCTTTAACTGATCTTTTCGGTGTAAATGCACTTGTATCCCCATCGGAAGAGCAGGTAGCTAGCCAGTTTTTTTCTATGCAGTCCTAATTTAAGCGTGTTATTTTTTTGGCAGGAACATTATGGTAAACAACCCCTCCGATCAGTTATCAAGGTGGTTCACAGACAGCTCCATTCCAGCACAGTATATTATGCTGAAATTGAAAACTCCATCTATTGTAGAAACTATTAAATTTGGAAAATATATAAAAGCTCATGTCAGTGATCTAAAGAAATTTCAAATATTTGGTGGAACTGATGAAAACAATCTATCTTTATTATTGTCAGCGTGAGTATTAAAAGCATGTGGTATTTTTCCATAAAAATTTATAAGTGTTTCTGTTTTTTACTATTTAACATTTATACTAATTGCTTAATTATAATGAATTGATAACAAAATTACTTTTACTATTTGAATTTTTTTTAGTGTAGTTATGTAGTACCTTTGTAACTAATTGCATTTACAAACCAACAGTGGTCTGAAGAAAGATAGTTCACCAGAGACATTTCGCTTGAGACACAAGACAGTAGAAGGATTGTATCTGCCAATTCAATATATTAAAATTGTACCAGTGCAGTCCTGGGGTCCAGCATATAATTACACGATATGGTATGTAGAGCTTCAGGGAAAAAATCAAGAGGAACTCATTAGTTACGCTATGGATACTATCAATTTGGTGAGTATGTTTTTTATGTGTATATATAAGAATTTACAAGTTTCAGTTGTTAAAGAATCATGCAACCTTTTCATACATTGATTCACCTGTCATTTTCATTTAAACCTTTACCTACAATTAGTGTTAATTTAAATTGGCCTTTGCTTAAAATAGATTAATAATGAAACATTTTCATTTGAATGCCAGTGAAATGTGTAATTTTAAATAATATTGTGAGGTCATCATTGTGAAGCTAGTTTAAAAAATTATCTCTATTAAAACCAAAGCTTTTTATAGTTTTTATAGTTCCACAGTTGAAAATAACTGTGGAAGTAAAATGTAATTCTTAATATGCACTTTTGAAACTAAAATTTTGTTGTTGTAGATGAAACAAATTATAGCAAGCCATCATTGTATGGTCCATATTTCTCATAAACATTTTAAAAGTAATTAAAAAGTAATATGTAAAATAAAAAATAGTGAGACTGCTCTTTTTTCTTGCCTTATTTTAAGATTTACCTATATATTGAGTTGTTAGAAAATCATAAATTGAATAAAGTACATAGCAAGTTATTAGTTTTATAATATCTTTATAATACTGTCCATATACAACAATACAATGCTGTATCAATTGAACCACTGAGAAAAGCAGTTCGCCCTCTAGTCCTTCAGTGTTTCTTCAATAGCCTTTTGAAATGCAGGCACTGTTTCCTTAGCTAAACTTTGTAAAATGTTTTACTATTATATTCCATACCTAACAGTAGCTAATGTTTTATTTTATTAACAGAAAAAAGAAGAAGAGGCTGTCCGCATCCTTTTAAAACATTTACGTCGCCGTCGCTATAGAGATGCATTTGAGGCCTTATCAAGAGAGAGTGGCGTCCGACTTGAGGGTTCTATTCAGGCACGCTTATGGAATGCACTTGTTGAAAGTGGTGATTATAAGCTTGCAGAACAAATTTTGGAGGAAGCAGTCCATAGTAAGTGATTTTTATCTCACTCACTTTAATAAATCAATAAAATATAAATTCGATATAAATATACAAATTTGTGATTCATTCAAAGCTTAAAGACATTAAAACCTTAATGGATGTTTGTACAAATTACCGTGAATAGTATAAATGCAAAAATGTTGTAAGTGTTATTTCGCTTTAATGGGAATTTTAATGGATGTTTCTGCAACTGGCTGTGAGATGTGTATTGACATCAGAGGGAACAACAATTAACATGTTTGGTTCTATGGTCAAAAGTATATTATCAAATCAAATATTTGGTAAAGTTGGATCATGTTGACAGTGTAATGCAATTTGAGCATACTGTGTGAGAATGAGAAGCCTCTGTAAAAAAACATGTACTTGAGACACAATTTAAGCCTATAAACTTTTGCTGACCAAGTAACTGCTAAAGTAACAAATATTTGATGAATTTTGTTATATCCCTGTTCGCGTAATTTGGAGGAACACTTGTCCATTTACCAAAAGATTATTACTTTGTTTTTTTTTTTACTTCTTACTATATTTTTTCTTTGTGTTAGCAGTCTCCTGCTTACAATCAGCAATTACTTCGAGTTGGCTGGTCATCCTTTCCTTTCCGTACCAGTTGATATGCCAATTACGTCATACATCATAATTATAAAACAAAGTCGCTTTCCACTATCTATACACTGAGATCTATTAAACTACGCAACAGATTTTAATGCAATTTACATCAATATACAGGGTGATTTAAAGTCGTATATGTACCATGCTGGTGAAGCCGCTAGCGGAAAACTTGTATTTGAATAAAGGAATTTTCATTTTCAATGTTTGTAGCGGGCGAGTTTGACTGGTACATGTCGTGGCAGATATACACTCCTCAGTGGCGGCAGATGTCCGCGTGCTCGGCGCAGGTGGAGGCGCGTTTATGTTGCGGAGACCCTGCTCCCCTCTCGCCCAGCGCACCTATAAACGACCTGCTCTGTAACGACCGCGATCCCCGACCCGATTCTGCCGTACGTATTACTATCTATTATATACTAGAATCTGTTTATATTTAATACAACCACTTAATATAAACTACTCCAACCTAACTTTCTATAATGTGATCGTTTCAATTCGTCAAAGAATCCCATCTTTGCTTATTGAGATCATCAGGAAACCAGCGACTGGAAATGCACATGTATTGCACAAAGTTTTGCGATAAATCTTTTGCTGTTCACACTGTATGCTTATCAAATGCCCTACCTTTGTCGATTAGTAAAGCTAATTCTGCTAATTTATTTAGGAAACTTGTTAGAAAGCATTACTTGTTTATGAAAGTATGTATATAGATATTATATGTTTGTATATGTATTATAGTTTATATCATAATACTAATAATATAATAGGAAATATCATACTAATCTCATAGAAATAAGTATTTTTTTGATATGGTATTTTACATCGTTATAATTTCTATGGAATAATAGCAGAGATACACAAATAACAGTTATGAAAAACCTACTCATAACACTAACGAGCAGACTGCTACAACACACTCTAGAAGCTAAAATTAGTCGATGTTCTTATGTCATCGGAAACGCGATTTACAAATAAAAACTATTTTTCTATTCCCAAATATAAATTCTATAGTACAGAACATCTTGATGGCACTGCTTATGTTGGATCAGGAATTCTAATAAAATCAAATATAAAACATGTAGTCAAACTATATTGTGAATGCCAATTGGCTGCTACAACACACTCTAGAAGTTAAAACATTCTCTTTGAGAACAATGGCTACACTCAAGTCGTGAGTCGTGAAACCTTTCAAGCTTTTCAATCTTTCCAATTTGTTTCAAGTGGTTTAAAACAGTTTTATCACTAACACCGCAACCTGCAGTGGCTGATTTGCGATGACTCCGTTTCCACAATAGCCTTCAATTCTTCATTAATAACTTGGGTCTCCGGCCGTCCACGGGGCTTGTTCTGCAGGTCGAAATTTCCAGAACGAAAACATTGGAACCAAAAACGCACTGTGTTTTCTTTTGCGACACAACCGCAATACACATTCGAGACGTTTTCGCAGCACTGGTACCACGGTGGAACTAGTACTCGTAAATAACACGATATTTCAAGTTTTCCATTTTTTTATACTGGGTGACGTAAATAGTATAAACTGAAGAAAAAAAAAGAAACAAATGAATGCCGCCTAACGAAACACAAATACATGTGTAAATGGCTGTATAAATATGAATTTTGAATTCCCAACCAAGGAGGAGAAATTTGTGATTAAAGTTGCCAGTACGTCTAAACGCCGATTTCATATGTAAGGAACTAATAGTTTATCGAATTGGTGAAATAAAAATAAAAGCCTAAAATATAATTTTATGTAATTTTTTTTGATGTAAACTTTTTGTTACAACTATAGGTGTATATTTACCGTCACATCCGCTCTGACAAGTAGCATGCCTTTTGAATATTTTTAAGATACCACATTTAAGTTGCATTTTTTAATAATTATATTCAAGACGTAAATAAACTATGTCGGAAAATATTTACATAAATATATTTAATCTTTTTTTGAATTAGACGCATTTCCCTATTAACAGTAGTCATCCTTCTATGTTTATAAATTGTTTATAGGTTCACAATCTATTACCCCATCATTAGATCTTTTATATTTAACGCCATCCCAAAGTTGCTTGGAAGAGATCACTTTTAGTGATCAAATTGGTGTGTAGACAACATTTTTATTTTATAGATATACATGAAGTTAAAATCTAAAAATAAATTTAATTTCGTAAATTTCCCGCGATAACGCCACTTCTGTCATGGGGTCCCTATGGCGTCACGGCATTTTGAAACGAATATCTTTCTAAGCATGCATAAGGTTGAATTCTCTAAGTTTTGGTATAAATAAGAAGGGCGTGACTTCACGCGCTGTTGCAGTCACGTGACAACGAGCATAAAATATTTATTTTTTCATAATTAGTTTAAGCAATATAATAGACATAAAAGTGTGATTATGGGTTAAAGTATATTAAGCACTACCATAAAAAAATAATATAACGTTTTCCAAAAGACCAATGAAAATTCTAAGAATTAACTCCCTAAAACATTTTTTCTAACTTCTAAAACAAAAATGTTATGACACGTTTTTTAGCTCTCCTGAAAGGTCATGTTTTGGTTTATACGCTATAAAACAACAAAAAGCAGGGCCGGCCCGGTCATATACGCAAACTAGGCAACTGCCTAGGGCGCTCGTATTTAAGGGATGGCCTAGCATATCAAAAAGATTGTTTGCTTCCAATTGTTTAAACCTAAAAATACAGTATCTTAAAAAAATGAGTTCATGTTCGCGGTACTCAAAATTATACTTTTTAATCAGTATACCTATATGAGCTTTTTATTTTATTGTGATTTTTTATGGGCGTTGTTCTAGTGTTTTGCCTAGGACGCCAAGTTTCATTGAGCTGGCGCTGATAAAAAGCCTATTAAATGTCTCCACAGTTAGCACCAGACTACAAATTAGTAAATGTGCATTACACAATAGGAATGATGATTAATTTCTGTTTGTAAGTCTTAGGGCCGGTTTCACCAGTTGCTGATAAAGTCCCTGATAGTCTATTAGGAACTTATCTGCCAGATAAACTACAACTTTTTTATTGTAAAATTAATCGTAGATTATTGAAAAATTTTAAATGCGTATTTTTTTATTTTTTGCATAATCGATAAATTATCGCAATATATTGAGTTGAAATGTCGCATGACGTCACGCCTTTTGTACATTTTCTACAAAACTGACTTAGCGAGCCCCCCGCTCCTCAATTTTATTGCTTATTATCAAGCCGTATCTTGTTAAATTGAAGCAAAAAAATACGTATCTAATATTTTTCTATTATCTGACTGACGGACTATTTTTTTAACCCAGTGATCCCTATTAGACACTGTTCGTACGTACTAGCAGCAAGTCAATGAACTTACTACACACGCCTAGCCGAAGCCTCGCTAATACTGACATAAACTAGTTTTTTTAAAATATTATTTGAATTAGTTTGTAAACATAAAGGTAATATGTAATTAAAAAATAAAGTTAAGTTGTTCATTTGTTATTTGTTGTACAGGAACCAGATATGGTATCAGGTGAACAGACTGAAGCGTGCGACGCGTCGTGTTGCTATAAACCGGGACCCCGCGGTGGACATCAGCTCGTTGTGGATGCCACCACTGGTATGTCACATTTATTTTAAACGCAGTAAGGGCTAATTTGCATTAAGTAGTGAATTCCTTACACATAAGTAACAAAATTAAACATCACCGTTTCATTTTGGAACATTATTGAATATAAGTTGACATGTATTTGCTTAGTATTACCATTGCTTTTCCCAAGCTTAGTCTCTTTGAGTTTTCCGTTTTCAAGAACCAATTATAGGTAAAACGCTTTTTTACTTCCCTCAGGTAGGTCTCAATAATTTATGCGGTAGGTACTATTTTCTATCAATTAGAAAAGGCCTGTGCTACATATCTTTTAACACGTTTATTCGCGTATCACACGATGTCAGGTGAAGCGGCCGTCCCAACATAGAACATCGGGGTTTTTTAAATGGCTTTTAGTATGTGTTTTGGCCATTAGAGTAAGCAATGAATTTTTGACAGATAGATGTGGCCTGCGGGTGGGTAGCTATATTGTTGTAGTTTTGCTCCCGCTCGCGAATTGTTCGCCACTCGTGTTCAAGATTTTGGCTTGGCAATGAATGTGTTAATTAAAGAGAGAGACTGAAAATGAGATAAAAATTGCTGTAATAAATTTTAATAGATTCTATATAATATCTCAGGTACGCTTTATCTATTCGGTGGCTGGAACGGAACAGAAGATCTGGATGATTTGTGGTCATATGACACAAAGGCAGAGCGTTGGCAATTGTTATGTAGGCACAGTGGACTAGTCGGTGGACCATCGCCGCGCTCATGCCACAAGATGGTACTAGAACCACGGAAGAAACGGCTCTACACAGTTGGAAGATATCTTGACAATGCTCAAAGATTGCCTGCCAATATGCGTGTGAGTATATTCTGTGTCTATACTATAATATAAAGAGGAAAGACTTCATTGTTTATTTGCATTTAATAGGCTCTGAAACTGCTGGACCGATTTTTTGTTTCAACTACGGGAAGCTAAAACATATGCAGGTGTCATAGGTTATTATTTTCGCGGCCGAAGAAAACATTTAGTCCTTATATATAAAAAATATTTTTGTCTGATATATAGACATAATGTAACATTTAGAACGGTCATTATGAGAAAGTGTGGAACTGACTTACAAAGATCGGTTCTTAGAAACTATGGCATCTATTTTAGTGTAAAGACAACTGCATTCATACATTTAAAAAGCCAATTCTCGGTTTGGAAATAGAATCCGGACGTTTTGAAAAATAAAATTTACATTATTTCTGCTTTAATAACAATTGTGTAGGTATTGAGCAGTTAATGTCAAGAAACAAGATATAAACTGAATAAAATACTTTTCAAGTTAGTATACATTCTACATAAGCGCATTGAGGAAATAGAGTTATAAATTAACGAAACTAGAACCAGTACGAAAATTCGGAAAATTTTGATCGTTATTATAGGTTTGTTAAAATCATATCCATTATTATTATCTGTGCATTAGTGGTACTGCCATGTCTGATTTACATGTATCAAGTAATAAGTAGTTAACTAAATTGTTAATTTATATTTAAAACAATTTCGTGTAAATCATCCATCAAAAGATGTTGCATCATAAATTTAGTCGGATTAGCATTTAGAAAACAATAGAAAATTCATTTTCGTAGATTAATTCGTACGGTTAGCAGAGTTCAGAGTGCTTACTCTTGATAATTTATTTATTATCTTGATAATTATAAAACACTACACAAACTATTTTTGTACTTTAGGAAAAACAAATATCAGATATGGTTTTTCTGATAGAGAAAATTGTCTAGGCAACCATCTTTCTAATACGGAAATGCATTCATACTATTTGAATAATTTTTTATTTTATTTGATTTAAATTATAAAAATTAAACAAAAAAATTACAACAATTAATTTTTTTTAAATTTTGTGTTAAATGCTTTCTCTATTATAAAAATAGTTTCCAGCAACGACGGATAATTATCAGATATTTATCTTAACTAACAAATAGATAAACCGGTTAACTTATAATGTGTATATTACAGAGCGACCTATACATGTTCGATGTGTGTACCGGTGAATGGTCGCTAGTATGCGCGGACACGGCGGCGGCGGGCGGACCGCGGCTCGTGTTCGACCACCAGATGTGTATAGATCCCGACACTCAAACAATATACGTGTTCGGGGGACGAGTGTTGCCAGCTAACACGTAAATATACCCATTTTATATTCATTATTGATCTCTTTTACAGACTTTCATTACCGAAAATAAAATATCTTGAATTCCTTTGTACTTCGGAAGGCATGTTTGGACTCGCTTGTGGGCGAGGTAATTCGAGTTCATAGGGAAAACCTCAGCAGTGGAAAAATAATAATGTCTGTTTATTTTCTAATGTTTATTTATTATTACTAATTTAGGTTATTAAAAGTTTAACGAATGCCAGTTATATTTTTTTATTTTATTAATAGTGAATTGCTATCTACATATGTTGTTAGCACTGTGCATTAGCGTTATATTCCCATAACGAATAAATAAGAACCAATTGTAGTGTAAACAAATAATGTACTAAGGGAAGATTTGGCTATAGTTTGAATAAATTCGAAAAAAATATTTTTAAAATTCTTTCATAAATATATAGTTGCACTATTAGTGAGTTACAAAGGCTGTGTAATCAAAAAAATGAATTTACTATATGTATGAGTATTAGTAAACGTCGTAGGAATTTAATATTTTTTAATTTATAATTAGAGTGTCATTTTATCCAATAATACATCATTGCTACATATTTAAATATAAGAAGGTAAGGTTTCATTCATTTCCAACAAACAAAATATACGAAAAGGTTTATTTATTTACTACATGTGCTCATACTGTAATGTATAATGTGAGCCAAAAGCACTATCAAACATCCACCTTAGTTCGTTTTACGTTTCAACTTCAGGGATGTGCAAAAAAGGGACGAAATTATTCATGTTTATAAATCAACCCATTGTCGTAGTATACAATATTATCTATTACGCATTGCAGCGAACCCGAATTCGTAAAACGTTGCGACAAAAATTGACAACTTTATTATATATTGATAAGAACAAAAGACAATTTTAGAAAATAAATTTTATTAAATCTTCATGAAGTCGAGTCAATACTGATATTAAACCCAACAATATAACATATGTGATAAGTTAAACGAATCTAAAAATTTTTTAGAGAACTGAATTGTCTTTGCTGTCGGTACTAAAATTACATTCTTATTTGGCTCGCATAATACATACAATATAGCTTTATGCAATATTTCCTATTTGTAAAATACAGGGAAGAGGTAGCGAGCCCTCAATACTCTGGTTTGTACGCGTACTACATAGAGACTAACACGTGGCAGCAACTGTTGGAAGATCAGTACAATGGACCTGCGCCTGCTCCTCTACCGCGGGTCTCACACTCTATGCTCTTCCATCCGGTAAGATTCTTAATCTTGGATTCACACGGTTTTGCTCTGCCCTTTTTTAAGGTAAAAAAAAGCCTTAGCCTTATGCGGGGAATTCAATAGACGGGCGTACCGGGTAAGTCTCGGCATGCCCGTCGGAGCTCACTACTATAGGTCGGTATAATGACTGCGTCGGACCTACACTAATAAGACATGTCCGAAGCAGAGTATTTAGATAGATAGATAGATAAAAAATGATTTATTTCTTGCCAAAATACACACACACATTACATTTCATTAATTCCATGTATTTGACAGTCTTGGGTCCCGGACAGGGATTTACATGTCATGACAAAATGTATGCGCTAAAGTGGATCATGAAATGTGACGTCATGATATTAGGGTTGCGAGTATGCCCATAACGGTGGATCCGTTCTTGACTGTACACATAAAGCGGGGCAGATATTAATATGTAAAATTATAGAAATTGAGTTTTAAGTCAATTGCAGCACAGCTTATTTCTATCAAGCACTTTTTGGTAGACAAAATAAAATTGTTACGTTTTTCGCATAGGAGTTTGTGTGCGATGTTGTATCATTTTTTTTTTAATTAAACTAAGCATTGAACTTCGAAGTTTGTTAGTTTTTTCCCGCCATTCATGAATTCCAAATGATCGCAGCTTCAAAGGAGGCTGTATATATTCGCTGGGCAACGCAACAAGGAGCACCTGGTGGACTTGTGGTGGTGGGACGTGGGCACCGGCGAGAGGAAGGCCATGTGCTCGGGGGGCGGGGCCGATGGCACTGGGGGAGGGGGGCCGCCCCCCGCCGCCGGGTTCACGCAGCGCGCCACGCTAGACCCGGACACTGATGAAATGTTCGTGCTCTCTGTGAGTACATTCTATTTATTTCTTACTACCCTATTTTAATTAATCACGTGATGTGTTTTTTTTTTTACCATTTATTGTCTGACCATCCCTTCCCTTGGTGATACATAATGATTTTTAAGACTACCCTGCCCCCCAAAAATCACGTGTATTTTGTAGTAACTATCAAGAATCTTATTTTGGACTAATCAATGTCACACGACACGCCGCATTTAATTTTTTCGTGTTCGACGAAAAAATAATTAACGTTTTTTTTAATTAGTAGTCGCGTGTTTGACTATAAAATAAATACCGTCTTATTTTACTACGCACCTCTCCCCACTTTTATGACACCCCCTTCCCACTTTCGAGCCTCACGTGATTAATCGTCCCCTTATCTGCAATATACTCTTGAGCATTATTTTAATGTTTACTGAAGAAAGTTAGAATCCATGTGTCTTGTATATGTGCATGCGGGCGGGCAGAGTTCGTTTAAGATTATTTTATACTCTGTTCGCTTTAATAGAAAGCTAATTTTTCTTTGTTATCTTATGCTTTTTTATTTTTGTTTTATTTTACGATCAAAGAATATAGTATCATTACATTGACTATTCATCGTTCTAATCTGAAAAGCTAAAAGTAGATGGCACTAGTTGGATCGGGATCTAACCAGTTATTAAATTTCATACATTAACAGCCAGTTGCACTAACGTCCATTAAAATTGCCATTAGTTTAAAGCAACATTAACGATACAAATTTGACATTCATTAGCGCTTAAAGACGTCATTAAACCTTAATGGATGTTTGTGCAACTGACCGTGACTCAATATGTGAAATTTTATCTGGCAATACTGTATTGACGTTGACATAAATTGAAAATATAAAAGTTGTTATTTCTTAAGTCTGTACATCGGGCTACCACAGTATGTCTCAATTGATTTTGATCTCTATATATAAGAAGCATTAAGGTTAAAAAAGAACTCGAGAAATTTGACAGTTTAGTGTAGGTCGACTTGCTGTTGTTTGTACATCAGTGAGCCATTCAGTTATATGTTACTGGTATCAGTTGTTTTCGGTTCTAGATATAATGTTTTTTTATTAGGGTATGAGCAAAGAAAAGGACAAGCGAGTTTACAATACATTATGGGTATTCTCGCTCCGTCGAATGGCGTGGAATTGCGTGTACCGAAATGATACGGTATCACAGAACGAACCTCGTCCGAGATTCGCTCATCAACTAGTCTACGATCCTCTGAGAAAGGTGAGTGCCAAACAACAGAAAGTTTTGTTGCCAGCGGGGATGAGATTGCTCTGGGTAACTTATTGTTCATGTATATCAGTTTTCGGTGGCGTAGTGGATAAGCGCTGCGGCCTGCGATCATTGTTGCAACTTTCGTAATAGTCGGTCACGGGACGGGTAACCAAAAGAATTATTATCTCGAGCTACTCCGTGCTTCGGAAGACACGTTAAGCCGTTGGACCCGGCTGTATTTGTCGTTAATACCCTCCGATTCGCATTGGGGCCGCGTGTAGGGTCACGGCCCACATCATTTATAAGGAAGGTCTGAGCCACTGCAGTGCGGATGATAAGGGGCTGATGATATCAGTTTTATTGTCAATTAATTTATATGACACGGCATATTAATCGATTTATAAAAGAATTATCTCCTTTGTCATTTTTTATGTTATGGAATGTGACCTCATAATCTAATAAGCCTGTTTTTAAATGGAATTCTCAGTTTGAAATGAAAAAGGGAGAAAAAAAGCAGACCTTTCTGAGTTTCTTGCTGTTTCTTCTACAAGTACAAGGTCTAACACCGTAGATTTACATATATATATAGCATAGCTTTCGACATTAATATGTGCTTGCTATAGTCTAGACTGAATTAATGATATTGAATTTGAATTTCATCGGACAGCATTACTAACCTACCTCAGTTAAAAGACTCCTACGGAATCGAAAGCGGCAAGTTCAAATGCCCTCTATTTAAAAATATTAATGCCCTCTATGTTTAAACGGATCATGTTTTTAATAGCATTTATTTATTATTGTTAAACAATCCATAAATAACACTGTTTTCCCCTGTATGTACATACGTACTTGCGAATTCCCGGGGTCCTTGGAGCACATCTTTAGGACCACTGCTCTAGGTGATCCTAAATTACACATATCCAGGTAAAAGATTGTCGTATGCTAGTAGTAATTGAAATATAAATTCTCTCGTTCTGTCTTAAATTCCTATGGATGCAACTTTTGTGGTGATTCGCCATCATACCATTTTAACGACGTAATTATTTATATCTTTTAATATGTTTATCGGTACAATCAGATCCACTATCTGTTTGGTGGTAATCCCGGCAATCAGAACAGTCCGCGTCTGCGTCTTGACGACCTATGGTCGTTACGATTGGTGCGTCCGACCCTGGATGAGGTTTGGCACAACGCCAGGGCCTCACTCAGGGAGGCTTGCTACAGGGAGCTTGCCTCGGTACGAGAGGACGCCGCGCGCGCGTTACACTATCTACGTAACGACCTGCGCGCGGTCCTGGATCATTCTGACCCGGAACAGGTGAGCTTTTATTTAATTCAAATATGTAAATTCTTCAATGAAACTATCTAAAAATACTTACACAAGAAAACCAGAACAGGCCCGCATTTCATTAAAAATCCGAACTTGCAGCAATAGAACATCTGAGACACATGAATCAATCAATATTGTTTTGTATTTTTATAGAAAAATGGAATCCATAGAATTTCTACACTAAATAACGTGAATTCGGACACATGAGTGAATTTGAATTCAGGTTCGGATTTTTTACAGCATCGCTCTGCAAGTTATTTGATAAAACCTTTTTTCTTGACCTTTAAATTACGAAGGTTTTTTTTTTAATTTAGAGATATAAATCCTTCAATGAAACTGTCTATATAAATATTTAAAAAGGATAACCGACTTGACTGATTGACATAACGCTCAGCCCAAAGTAATTGGTTAAGAAACTTTGAATTTTGTCCATCGTGGTCATTCTCCTTAACCATCTATAAGAAAGATCCAACCGTAAAAGTGGCAACAGATCTGGCACGACAACTTTTTCCAACCGGGGCAGAAACTTGATATGACAACATAACCCCCCCACCCCACCGCCCGACTACATTTTTACCCGTCTGCGCGACGCAAAAGAGGGTAATGTTTGTTTCTATGTGGCGTTCTAGAGACTAAATGCGAAGGCCGATTTTGATGATTCTTACGTCGATCGATTCGTCTTAACCTTGCGAGTGTCACTAAAGACGTGACAGTAATCAAAATTCACTACAGCGACAACCAGACAACATATCGTCAAAATGAATGTATTTTTTAAAATTCATTTTTACGCAGTCGGGCTTTTTGTTTTTCTTTTATTTTGTTTTTTACTTTATTATATTTATTTATTTATGACACGCCAACAGCATACACACACAACATTTACTTGAAATGAATCATTCAGTAACGTACCTGATGTGTTTATGATATTATGACGAATGTAAAAAAAACCAACGACCCCCCCTCCTAAGTCCACCACGGATGCTGCGCGCGCGCGGGCCCGTGCTACTACCCATTTGCTACTGTCGCCACGTGGCTAATCCGGCACTGTGTGTGCGTGTGGTGTCGTGTGCAGGTGAGCCGTTTCCAGAAGCTAGCGACCGAGTTGTTCTCTGGCGTCGGTCCGTCGCGCGGTCCGTGCGCCATGTGCCCGCGGCGGGTGCGCGCGTTGCACCGCCGCAGGGGCCCGCCCATCGACCACCACGACCTCAGGCACGATCTAGCCGCGGTCAGTATTATATACACAATACAACATTGTACACGCACCATAAGGGGCCGTCCATAAATCACATCACAAAATTCATGATTTCTAAACCCCCCCCCCTGTCACATGTTTGTCTATACAAATTCTACTAAATATTGTTCTAATGTCACATTTCGTCGGACCCCCCCCCCCCCCTCTCCTAACGTGTGGCGTAATTTATGGATGGCCCCTAATAGGTCATGAAATTCGTGGACATATGAAATATATATATACATATATATGTGTGTGTGTATATTAATAAATGCTTTTTTAGCATTTACATGTATATTTTTTACTATTTTTCCTTAATGGTTTTTCGATCATCGAATTACTCTGCGCCTGGCTTCGCAACGAATAGATTCTGACATTTGAAAGTTAGCGTGATTATTTTTATTGTTTATTAGGAATCGAATTTTTTGTTTGTGTATCACGTGGCTTGAAACGCGCTTAGGATTTGACGACGTATCAATATTTATAATATTTATTGAAAGCAGATCGCGATGGCGCTGTTGTTACTTTATTATGTTATGTTTTTCTTTTGTAGCAGAATCGATTGATGCTACTTTTCTAGCTTGATTGATTTTTTTTTGATGTATTAAATAATATACTCTTTGCGCTTGTTACGTAACGAAATAAGTGTCCTATCAAATTTATTCAGCTTTAAATCTTCATATATTTGAGGGTTGAACTTATAACGTGGTTCTATTGTTCTTATATTTCTGTCCCACACACAGGTATTAGGTGCGGATGATAACATCCCCGATCCCCCTCAGCCGTTCGAGGAGCCCTCCCTCCCCGCCCCCGACACGTGGGACGTGGGCGAGGACGATGACCCCACCGTCCCCCCTCACTGGGACGCGCGCTACGCACGGATACAGCTCTACGATAGCCTCGTCAAGTATTTCCGACCGAGCACTGTGCCCCCAAACGCTGATATCACCGACCTTGTCTCCTTGTAATACGGACTATATTAGTGAGTCTATACATAGTCATGTTACATCGGATCGCTGTATGAACTCCTATACGATACGTTTGTCTATCGTGTAGTGGCACACTGACATAACCGACCTTGTTCCCTTGCAATATGGACTACATTTGATAACATCTATAAAACAAATGATTGTATCACATTGGATCGCTGTATTAACTCCTTTACGATACTTGTGGCTATTGTATAGTGTTGCGCTTTGTGCGAACTTGTGCGCTTGCAATGTGAATTATTAGTGAATCGCTTAAAAAA